TTTTTTTCTTGTGTTTTCTCACCTCACGTGCGTGGGTTGCTGAACTTTTGGGCAACGGTGCTCCTACACATTTCACAACCTAGTGCGGATATACACTTTTTTGTTTTCCTGCAACTTCAAATCCTTGACCCTAGGGCTCCAAGTACCTTCGAAGAAGGTGTTTGGGGTGGGTTGAAAGGGTCCAAATACCTTCTGAGGAGGTACTTGGAGCCCTAGGGTAAAGTATTTGTGGTGCCAACATTGACGTACCCCGCGCCGCCAAGGACTACAGGTACTACGGCCTTCGGGAGCCTTTAAGTGCTTGGGCTGATGGTGTTGCAGCGGCAATTCAGGAGTCACCGCCGATTCCGGCACTGTTTGCGTCAAGTGATGGAGCCTACTAAAAACTCTTTGGCAACATTAATATAGACAGATTGCAGTAACCCGGGGTTGGGACGGGATTGCTCGATTCTTAAGATACTGGCCTCTCTTGACAATTGATAGCGATCCAGGAGCTGGACATGACAAGGGCAGGGTCACCGCTTTTGCAAGAACTGTTGTGGCAGGATGCTAAGGCCTTCTGGATGTGACCAGTGGTTTAAAAGACAAAGTCTGCAACAAACAAACCCCCACATAAAGTCATCCACTGCGATGGGGTTATGACTCTTTATGACCAATCTCCTTGTTTTCTCAGGTTGTCCTGCCAACTTCTGAAACGCTCCAGGAGATGAAACGTCCTGTTTGTTTGCTGGGCCTGCGCGCTCTGGCACGAGAGTGTCCACGGTTGCAACTGGCAGAGGAGCTCAAGGCAGGTACGTTGTTTGTGTATTTGTCCGAAGCTGCTAAGGTTTCAGCGTCGCTGAGGAGTGGTTGATGGTGTGTGAGTGTACACCTTGGAATCATAGGTTACCTTTTGGTACTAGTACGCAGGGGCCGCAGGGGGCAGCAGGGGAGTCCACAGTTCTGCTGCCAGCGAAGACAGCTGTGGATACTCCGTGAAGCAGATTGGGACGCCAATCTGTGTACCTGCAATTTTCACCAAGTAGCTGTCCAGGCTATTTAGGTCCTTTTGAGGTCTGCAGACTTCGCACGTGACGTGGATCGCTTGTTGCCTCTTGCACTTTGGAACTTGGTTTCTGGAGTCGAACTTGAAACTTCAGGACTTCAGGGCTTTGGAAACCTATGGTTCAGATCGCTTTACTTGTTCCAACCCTAGCTAGCGGCAAACAGCAATCAGTCACTACGCAGTTCCCGAGTGTGAGAGTATAACTGTTGATTCCCAAAGTCCTGCCTATGCCTCCATCCTTGAGATGTTTTGAGGGGACTCGAGGTGGTTGTCAACTAAGACTAAGGCAGCGCGATGCGCTCCGTACAAGAGTCGTGCAAATAATAGACACTTAGTTCGCTGCTCACTTCG